TAAGAAATGCCGCACCTGTGCCTTTAGGCTCCTTTCACACGGGTGCTCTGATCAAGTCCCCCTGCAGGTTTTTTTAGGCGGACCCGATCGGATGTTCAATGCTAGGCTATAGGCAGTCGTCTGTAAACGGATGGGTGTCCGTTTACACCCAACTCTGGCAAGGTCCGGAAAAACAAACAGAACAGACCTGATCATGCCAGAGGAAAAAAACTGGACTTACATGGATGTCACAATGGTGACATCCAATCCATACCATTCCGATCAGGAGGGGAATCAATGCCCAGATCCCCTCCTATGCATCAAGTATGACAGATGTCCATTTGATATAAAACTTGATCATTTGACAACGAATAAAATCACACCTCGTTTTGTCTGCTTTTCCACCTCTTCAATGGATGAGTCCCACTTCCTCTTTCTATATTTTGTTCACACCCTTCCCCCCCAAAAAAGAAAGTAATATAAATGAATCAGAATGTCTGTACTACTTGTAAGGTGTTGTAATTAACCTACACCCTGGGACGTAACTGGTTATACAATCCTGTGGCCCTAATAAGTAGTCTTGAAGCTTTACACTTCACCTTTTTAAGGATACATGTATGTACTGTGACATTTATGTACTGTTTAACTTATTGACATCGCAATTAAAGTTTCCCTACAATATGAATTACTTCACCCTTCTGTAACTCTTTGAAACCTTAAAGGCATAGTCTATTGTAGGGAAAAATAAATGCACACATTGATGAAAGAAAAAAAAGAATTTGATTTTATTAATGTTATATATTTGAGTCTGCAAGCATTGCAACCTCGATCAATGAATGGCGGTACAATAACCTGGTTCTACAGACTGTTCCTCCAGTCCCAGGTGCAAACGGTTATGGGGCCAAAGGAAGCAATCAATGGGCTACAAGTCCGGTGAAGTCCCTTAGCTGTAGTGACAGATGGGACTTGTAGTCTATTCATTCACAGAAAATGTGAATGGCTGACGTGGCTGTGTGGGCGAAACAGAAGAACCCCACGATTCATGTAAGGGGGGACAGTTTTTGAGAGCGGGAAGCTGGGAAATGGCACCATGTTTCATATTACACCTTAAATATGGAGCAAGGCATTCTGTGAAGAGGAAGGCAGATAAATGACAGGACCGTCCCCTAGCATATTCACAGAACACCTTGCATTCTGCCAAAACAATGCAAGGAGTTTTGTGCATGGATGAGGGGACAGGAAGGGGAGGGAGAACGGCACACTCCTTCACAGCTGCAGCTCTTAATCTGCAAATCTCTGAATCGAAGATGAATACTCCAGCAGAAAAAAAAAATTATTTTCTCTCTTGGTATTTTTGGCTAGAGTTCTGCTTTTAGTTAAAAAAAAACAAAAAACTGTACTGATTAAGACACAGAGGATGCCACCGTTAACCTCCTAAAAATACTTGTTGCCTGGCCGGGTCTAGCGTCAATACTTTTGAGTCATTGACCACAAACACTAACCACAAGCATGCATATCGGAAAAGTCAGAGTAAAAGGCCCCTTTCACACGGTCCGATCAGGAGGGGATCTGTGCATGGGTCGCCTCCTGATTGGGACGGATTGAGTTTTCTCCTCCATTGCAACTGACATTACCGGACCTATGTTAGGCTGGGTTCACACCTAGGCGGATTGAATATGCACATTTTTCGCGCTTTTTTTTTACCGCGATCCGCGGTAAAAAAAACGCGCGAAAAACGCGCATTTCCGAGGGATACTTGGCTGTATCCCAATGGAACCACCCGACCAAAACGCCCCAAAGAAGTACATGTACTTCTTTGGGCGTAGGGCGGTTTCCCGCACGTTCGTACTCGCGGAAAACCGCCCAGATGGGAACCATGCACATTGAAAATAATGACATTTCCCTGTTTGAGCGTTTTTCCGCGAGTACGAAAGCGCGGAAAAACGCCTAGGTGTGAACCCAGCCTTAGTGTATGAGCAGCTGGATCTAAACAGATGGGCGTCTGTTACCCCTAATTCAGCTTATACAGATGCCCATTGACTAATATCAGGCTCCTGATCAGGTCCACCTGCAAAACTAACAGGCGGACCTGATCATAAAGCCCATATGAAAGGGGCCAAAGGAAAAACTCCAAATCTGCTTACTTTTTTCAGGTCAGTGACTCAAGTATTTAAGGCGCTGGAATGACAGCCAGGCAAAAATAATTTTCAGGAGGAAGAAATCAGCAATGTTGACCCCATACTGCTTAGCCCAAAGGCCTATGAAACAGCCCGCGGTATACTGAGACGCTGCAGCTGAAGCGGATCCCGACAATTATGTCTCGATCCGCCCAGCTGCGTGAGTGACAGCAGGCTCTGCCTCCCTAGAGGCAGAGCCAGCTGTACCCGCCCCCTCCCGTTCTGCCAGTCAGCGCTGGAGCATCGGAGCGGGGAGGGGGGAATTCAGCCCCTCCCCTGTCACGGCAGAGAGCCGTGACAGGCTGAGCATGAGGAAAAAAAAAAACATAATCCCAGTTTATAGAAAGCTTCAATTGTATGAAATTCTCAGTTTTTCCTGCAAGGCTGGATTGACACGGTTCTGCGAGCATGCGCCGTACACAGTAACGCACATGTGTAGGCGTAAATGGGCCCATAGGAGTTTCCTTTTCTCTTTCACACTAAACTGCAGCGCATACATGTGAACCTGCCACACAGGAAATAACGGGATTTCCACTTGACATGCATCTTCATGCAACAAAATACAAGAGTTCTGCTGCATCACAACGGACAAAAGTGAATAGGCCCTAACATAAAACCTTGACCCCACCCCCTCCAGAGCCTCCCTATAATGGACAGCCTCTCTGACCAATAGGAAGGCCCAGGAGGTGAGAAGAGGTGAGACCAAGCTTACGTTTTTAGGAGGGGGGGAAAGATAGATTTGTACATATTTTTAGCTTTTGTCACAGCTCGATGTATTTATCTTTAACACAACTGGCGGTTACAGCCGAGTTAGGATTATTTTTCTTCTCATCTGAATTGCTTATGATGGTGAGAGATTTACTCATACCATGGTACACATTGGCTATAATATGCCTGAAGCACAGTGACCCAATGTATGTATAATATTATTATTATTATTATTATTAACAATAACAATAAATATTTTGTACACAGAGCCACGTAGGTGTCGCTCTTGATAATGTTTACGACAAAATAAAAAAACATCCTTGGTCTGCCAGTGCTCAGGCAATAATAAACCTCATAAAAATGTGTAACAATAACAGTGGGGAAGAAAAAAAACACAAGAACACCACAATTTCCATACACAGACAGCCAATTACAAGAGGTGTGATAGTACTGAAATATCAACTGCGAGACATCCTCCATGTTTGCGAACCGGAAAAAAAAAAAAAAATTCCCTAACGCCAGTACTTATGCTGTCATTTCCTATTCCACATGTAACCACCCCACTAAATAGCTGTACAGGACAATCAGCAAATTCAGGAGCCCCAGCCTTCGGACACTTGACTGTTTCACATGCAGATTAGGCCTCATCATAAAAATCTACCTAATGAGGAAAAAGGGAATTTTTCAGACTCACCTCTCATGTGTCATATTTCCTATTTGGGAAATATATTCTTTATAAAAATGTTCTTTTGGTGAAATATTTTCTTTAAAAAAATATTCTTGGGGAAACCTTTTCTTTATAAAGATACATATTTTTGGGGGAAACACTTTCTATTAATATAAATCTAGATCTATAGATATATAGATCTATAGATATATATTGAGAAACATTCTTTGAAAATATTTTTTTAACAAGATACATTTTATTTAAAACAAATTGGGGGAAACATTCTGGTAAAAAAAAAATTGGGGGAACATTTTCTTTGACATGTTTCTCTGTGAATCCTTTTCTTTTTTTTTAAATATCTTTTTTTATATTGTTTGCTTCATTTTTATGTAAAATAAATAGCAGCAGACTGGCTGAAGCGCCCATTGTCAGAATCCCAGGATACTAATTGCCTCCACTGCAATCCCTTCTCTCCTGTCTTCCATCTTTCCTCTCCCCTCCTGCAGATCAGCTTCCAGCTTGCACAAAAAAAAAAAAAGAAAAGGACGAAGCATTAGAGCTTCCCTCTCATAACCCAATTCCGCAGTCTGCTAGGAAAGCAGGGGGCATGGGAGCTTTTCCTGCAATTAATACTTAGTTATAAGGGGAGGGAGCATGACCACTTAGTCCCCACCCCCCTCAACACCTGGCCTTTGCACTGAATATGCAAAAATAAACAAACCTTGCATTCAGCAAAATGCATGGATGCACACACATCACCCAAAAAAATGCAAAACTGCCCACAGACAATAGAACTAATTAGGATCACACTCCCCCTTGCAAGCAGTAGTAGTCTCTATGGCCACTCTTTTATATTTATTTCCATTTTTGCACCCCCACCCCCCACCCCATTTTTTTTGTGTGTTTCCACTATCCCATCCCCCTTCTCTTTTTTTTCCCCAGCAGCAGAAAGAATGAGGCAAAATGGAATGAAATCCCTTTTGCTTGCAACGTGCTCCCTGCGGCAGACTGCAGGCCTGTTACAGACAGGGCTGGCTTCATTCTTTTTTTTTTTTTTCCCCCTCCCTCCCTCTTGATCTCTTTTGCAACCATCAAGGAATTTGATGCGGGAGGGCGCCTCTTGTTTGCACTTGGAATGTCTGGGGGCAATCAGCGTGCACCCTAAATGTAAAAGTCAAAGGGAGACCTAAAAATGTGGCAGCAAATATAGCACCAGCCTTGGCTGTAGCGTCCCATCCCTTCCATTTCCTCTCTTTGGTAGACACAGGGCCAAAAAGAAAAATCTGTGCAGTTTGCAATCCACACATGTAATATCAAAAGCAGCACAAAGCTGACCCGATGTGACCACCAGCAGCACTCATCAAACACCCCACCGAGCATGCAATTTCATTTTGCAATCATTAAATTACCCAGACGACCCCCCCTTCTTTACCATGGTATTATTTATTTATTTGTTAATTCCTTCCTACCTTGCTTTGGCCGTCCTTTCGTAACTCCATCCTGAACCAGCCCCCAAAGGATCTCCAAATCCAGCCGTCGGATAATTCCTATCCATTAATTTCTTTGTTAGATGATGTTGTTATTAATTCTTTGCTCTTTTTTTTTCTCTCTTTCTCGCCCTCCTGCTTGATAATTGCCTTCGCTTCCTTTCTCTGTTCTCTCCCTCTGCGATCAACCAGATACACACACACAAAAAAAGAAAAACAAAAGATCAAATAATTAGTTTGTTTCGGGGCGCCTCCCGTGCAGACCCCGGAGGAGAACAGGCGAGCCCCTTAGAAGGCTCAGTGAGCAGCCCCTGTGTCTCTGGATGGCAGACGTATTTTGTTTTTTTTCTCATGGTGCAGCCATTTTTGCAGTCTCTCTATGTGTCTATTTCAGCTTCCCAGCATACATTTCAGTGAACTGTACAAAGGGGGAGGGGAGGAAGGCAGGAGAGAGAGAGAAAGGCAGACAGAGAGGGTAAGCCTCCCCTCCTGCCACCACGCAGAGCCAGGGGGAAGGAGGAGGAGGAGGAAGGGGGCTGAGACAGGCTAAAATTACACTACATCTCAGCCACCACATTCAACCTCACTGGGAGAAGAGTCACTGAAAACTATACACACTCACACAGAGGTGCCATCTCTGCTTACACAAGCTACACATCAACATATCAGACAATCATTCCTGTAAATAGAAGAATTATGCAAGCTTGCTGCTTTCATTGCATGCAAGATTCAGATATGTGGCAAAGGCTGGCTCCATTCATTGAATGCAAGCTACAGATATAGGGCAAAATTATGGTTTGCTCTTTTTATTTACAGAAAGATACAAATATGTAGCAGAAATGAAGGCTAGCCCTATTCATTGAATGCAAGCTAAAGACATGGAGCAAAGAGATGCAACTTGCACCTTTCGGTGATTGCAAGCGACAGATATAGGGCAAAATGATGACGGTTTGCTCTTTTTATTTACAGAAAGATGCAAATATGGAGCAGAGATGAAGGCTGGCTCTATTCATTGAATGCAAGGTACAGACATTGAGCAAAGAGATGCAACTTGCACCTTTCGGTGAATGCAAGCTACAGATATAGGGCAAAATGATGACGGTTTGCTCTTTTTATTTACAGAAAGATACAAATATGGAGCAGAAATTAAGGCTGGCTCTATTAGTTGAATGCAAGCTATAGACCTGGAGCAAGGAGATTCAAGTTGCTCCATTCATTGAATGCAAGCTACAGATATAGGGAAATTGATGAAGGTTTGCTCTTTTTATTTAAAGAAAGATACAAATATGTAGCAGAGGTGAAGGCTGGCTCTGTTCATTGAATGCAAGCTACAGACATGGAGCAAAGAGATGCAAATTGCACCTTTCGATGAATGCAAGCTACACATATAGGGAAAATTGTTGAAGGTTTGCTCTTTTTATTTAAAGAAAGATACAAATATGTAGCAGAGGTGAAGGCTGGCTCTATTCATTGAATGCAAGCTATAGACATGGAGCAAAGAAGGTGCAACTTGCACCTTTCGGTGAATGCAAGCTACATCCATGAGAGAAGAGAGAAACCTTTTATTGAATGCAAGCTACAGATATGTAGCAAAGAGATGAAGGCTGGCTTCATTCACTGCATTAAAACTACAGATATGTAACATTTTTACAGGCTGGCCTTCTCCATTGAATGCAATTTATACATATAGAGCAAAGAGATGCTACTTGCTCCTTTTAGTTAATGCAAGTCTCAGACATGGAGCAAAGAGATGCAACGTAGCCCTTTCATTGAATGCAAACTACATACATATAGCAGGGATGAAGGCTTGCTCCTTTTATTGAATGCAAGCTACAGATATGTAGCAAAGAGATGAAGGCTGGCTTCATTCACTGCATTAAAGCTACAGATATGTAGTATTACACAGGCTGGCCTTCTCCATTGAATTCAATTTACAGATATAGAGCAAAGAGGTGCTACGTGCTCCTTTTAGTTAATGCAAGCTACAGACATGGAGCAAAGAGATGCAACGTAGTCCTTTCATTGAATGCAAACTACATACATGTAGCAGGGATGAAGGCTTGCTCCTTTTACTGAATGCAAGCAACAGATATGTAGCAAAGAGATGAAGACTGGAGTCATTCATTGCATGAACGCTACAGATATGTAGTATTACACAGGCTGGGCTTCTCCATTGAATGCAATTTACAAATATAGAGCAAATATATGCTTCTTGCTCCTTTTAGTGAATGCAAGCAACAGATATATAGCAAGGAAATGCAGTTTGCTCTTTTCATTAAACACAAGCTGTAAATAACAGATGCAACATTTGCTTCATTCATTGAATGCAAGTTACAGACATGGAGCAAAGAGATGCAATATTGAACATGCTCCTTTCATTGAATGCAAGCTACAGATATGTAGCAAAGAAAAGAAGCCAGGCTCCTTTTTATTGAATGCAAGCACCAGACAATGGAGCGAAGAAATGAAGGCTGGCTTCATTCATTGCATGCAAGCTTTATACATATAGCAAAGGTGAAGGCTTGCACTTTTGTTTGAATGCAAGCTACAGATATAGAGAAAAGAGATAAAGGCTGGCTTCATTCATTGCATGAAAGCTACAGATATGTAGCATTGATACGGACTGGCCTTATCCATTGAATGTAAGCAAAAGATATGTAGCAAAGAGATGCAACTTGCGCCTTTCATTGAACACAAGCTGCAAATATGTAGCTAACAGATGCAAAATTTGCTTCATTCATTAAATTAGCTACATACTGACATGTAGCTAAAGCTGGCCATACACTGCTCGAAAATTGAGTGGTGTATGTGTGGCTGTGTTATGACCCCTCCATTCCAAAAACTGATTTTTCAATTGACTTTAGTCGACGGAGCCGGTCCAAAAAGTCCCTAACAAACAGTGACTGTTCGGGTATTCTGACAGCGGCACACCCATCACTGTCAGAATACAATAGTCCAGTTAGGGAGGGGGGAATCCCCCATCCAGGCTGTTTAGAGGTCCCTTGAGTTGTGGCTGATTGACTTCCCATTAGATGGTGTCTGCATAATTCTGGGGCCAGTGCCACTTGGAGGAGATAGCGTCGTGGCACCAATGAACTTTTTAGTTGTCTTTAGGGTTGGCGCACTGGTCACCACTTTAATTTTTCCTACTGAGCACCACAGTGAGGGACATTTTTCCTACTTGAATTGTTTCCTGATGAATTGTTTTTAGCAGCGGTTCCCCTAGACCTGACATTTCTTTCAAGAGTTCTTCTGGGGCACAAAGGTTGAGAAAGGCTGAGCTAATATATGCAAGCTTGTTCCTTTCATTGATTGCAAGCTATTGATATGTAGCAAAGAGATTCAAGCTTGCTCCAGTAATGGAATGCATGTACAGATATATAATAGTTGCAGGCTAGCTACATTTATTGAACGCAAGCAACAGGAGTATGAACCTATTAAATGCAATAGTATACGTTCCTTTAGCGCTTTTCTCCTTTTATTGCATACAAACCACGGATAGTAGCAAAGAGCTTCAACTTGCCCCTTTCATTGGATGCATGCTGTAAACAAGTAGCTAATACAGCAGATGCACCATGTATGAATGTAGCATACAGACATGTAGCTAACACAGCTATTCTCAACCAGGAATCTGTGGGACCCTAGGATTCCTCCAGAGCAGGGGTGGGCAATTCATTTTCTCAAGGGGCCACAGGAGAAACTGGGACTGTTGTGGAGGGCCGAATTAGTACTGGGCCTATAGTCCCAGTTTCTCATATGATTAAGGCATGGTATTGCACAACACACCTACTGTGCGTTGCAGTTCGGCAGGTGCATTGCGTTGCCATTCATTTGAATGGTACCCCAAAAGCTCCTCCCGGCCCAAAAGGGGGTCTAATGTGTCGCAACGTGCGATACGGCAATAACGTGCATTGCGGTTGAAAAAAGTAGTGCATGCAACGCACCTGCCACACTAATGCATGGTAGGTGTGTTGCACAGTACCATGTGTTAATCGCAGGGCATTAATACCGCCCTGGGGAACTGCGCAATTAGCACATGGCATAGGTGTGAGTGGGGCTTTATTGTCCACACATAGTGTGTGGCACATACCTGCTTATTTTTTTTCTTGACAGGCCACAGGCGGCAGCCAGGAGGTGGAGCTGCAGGCGAAACACTATCAGTAGCTGCAGGAGAGGACAGACACCCCAGCATTGTGGATGTCCTCCTGTAATACCGGCGGGGGGAAGACATTTGTCACTAACAACCAATGACTGCAGAGGAGGAAAACACCTGACATCATTGGTTGCTAGGACATCAGCGCTCCTTGCAACCAAGGACTGAAGAGGAACACAATCCAGACATGGACCTATCGCTGACCTGTGCTGGGCTATGGCTTGCAGTGAATGCATGGGTCTTGGAGGCCAGAGCATTCACTGTCAACCAGCCATAACCCAGCACAGGTCAGCGATCGGTCCGTGTCCAATCTCTGGACCATGGGTCGGACAGGAACAAACGAAGGGCCGGATATGGCCAAAGGGCCATAAAATGCCCAGTTCTGCTCCAGAGTTTCCTAGGGGTTCCTTGAGCTGTGGCTGATTGTTCCTTAAGATGTGGCCTGCCATTTGATGGAGCCTGGATAGTTCTAGGACCAATGTTGCATGGAAGAGTAACAGGCACGACACCAATGATCTTTTTAGTTGCCTTTACGGTTGCCATTCTGACCACCACTGGCCATCAGTTTAATAAGCATTTTTGTCACTGACCCCTGATGAATTGTTTTTAGCAGGGGTTCCCCTAGACCTGAACATTATTTCATGGGTTCCTCTAGACGGGTAATAACATTGAGAAAGGCTGAGCAAATATAGGCAGGCTTGTTCCATTCATTGATTGCAAGCTATAGATATGTAGCAAAGAGATACAGGCCAGCTCCAGTAGCTGAATGCATGCTACAGATACGAGTAGTTGATAGATGAAGGTTAGTGTCTTTCATTGAACACAAGCAACAGGATTATGATACTATTATAAGTTCTAGTACAATAGTTGTCTTTGGTGTCATTTAGCTTAGCACTATGCCGCCTCGTGGCCATTGAAGCGCTATGATTAGTCTTGTATGACTTTATAAGGTTTGTCAATTATTTCAGAACATTATTTTTAAACTTTTTGTTGCGTTACAAGAGGAATTTCGCTTTTCTAGTAAGCACTTTATAAATATTTGCAATTAAGACACGCTATTGTGGTGCAAAGTAGAATGACGCCCTTTAATTTTGATAAGGCCTCTTTAGTCACTATGGGGGCAAACACTGGAAAGAGAAAAGGGTTCATTTCCAAGATATATGAAATGTTAATGGAGAAATGGATATGTGGGCAGCAGTTGAAGTGTCGAGAGGGATGGGAAATAGATGTAGGTGAAATATCAGAGGAATCATGGTGTCACTTTCACCCACACAT